TTGGTACATTCTAGTTAAAAGTGAAATACCTTAAATCAAAAGTTTCAGTAGGCTTAAATGTTCCTGCTAACCCCTCTATTAAATCTTCATAACAGTGTGACAAGCTAGAATTCGTTATCTTCTAGTTTATTAAAAAGAGAGTGACCACTAGGAAAAATAATATTGGGAAATAAAATTTACCTTGGATTAGTTTCATGTAAACATAAAAAACCAGCTTCTCAGAACCCACATGAAAAACATAACGTAGTTAATATTAAATACCATGATTATGCAACCTATTACTTTTACAGTTTGTGCTCCTGTGTCCTTGATTTCATCCCTGTTTTGCTTATGATTAATGAATTACTCACCTTCAGTACTCTCTCATTTATTTCATACCTCATTATGAATTTGGAAAGGTCAATTTGTTATCTGAAAACAGCAAAACATGCATGGAAGTTAAACAGTGTTCAAAAACGCAAAGGACATTTTTATAAATAAATTGTTATCTTATATCACTTTTTAAGTTTGCATTTTTAACTGCTTTTGATATAATTTTGAAGAGTCTACATAAATTTTTCCCATAGAATACCAGACAGAGTTTCTCCATGTGTTTTATATGAACATCAGGAGTGTCAGTGCACAGGCACAAACACACAAATCCTAGAATGACACCTTCTGTACTTCACTGTCTATTTTAGCTTGTCAAGATTTTATGCCATAATTTTCCATGGCTTCTCATTTGTTTTGCTTGGAATTATTTTACCAGGGTTTATACTTTATAATGTTATGTGATTATACTGCTAGCATTCAGGTAGGGACAAAATCAAGGCAAGAAAAATTGAGGGAAGTTTTGTGTATATTAAGTTCAGAATTGCTGAAGTAAACCCCACTAAATTATTTATACTGAAAACAAAGCTTCATATCAACAGTTCACAGTATTACTTTTTTTTGTTACTGCCATATCCTTTTTCAGTTTTGATAATTATTTTCATCTACGGAATTTAGTAGTTGCACAATACTTTCTTGAGCAGAAAAAAAATTGGCTTATGTGACATCAGTGCTAAGTCCCATTCTGTGGAGCACTCAAAGGCACAAACTGAAGAGTCCATCTTTTCTCTCAGTATTCTGGAGGTAAATTCTGAAATCATTTGGGCATCACTGTCAGAAAATGACAGTTACTAATACATCTGTGATACACCTGATAGCTGGGGGAGTGGATTATGGTATCTAGAAAAGCTTAGGGTAACTGCATTTAACAGTCACTATTATAGCTGGGAAGTTGCCCTGGGGAATTTGGTATTGGCACAGAAATCTTTTGGACAGAGGGCACTTAATGCCACTCACAGCACTCACCTCTATAGCTGTGCAATGCCAGAGTCTGTGCTGCCTGCAGAGCAATGGCCTGTGAGGCTGTTTATGGACTGGGCTACACTCCGGGCTGCACCCAAATGCCCAGGCTAACTTTAAACTGGACACTTAGGTGATTTCTGGCACTGCAGCTGGAGCTGCACGTACTTCAGTGTGGGCTAATGCAGTCCCTCCAGGAGATTGTGGAGTCTTCTCTTTTCTCATCACTTTGGCAATCCTGTCCACACAAACAAGAGGAGCTTAAAGTCCTGCAACACAGACTTTACTGTTTACAGGCATTGCCTCTAAAGCCCCGGGGACAGCTGCACCCAACTCCTTCTGCAGAAGATAATCTGTGTTATGCCTTACCTTTTTCAGTTTCTGGCTCACAATGTGTAAGCAGCAGCACCTGCACCTACTATTTTTGCCCTGCTTTATTTGCAGCTGAATTATGGCTGTGTGGTTTGTTCAGGTGAGGTTTATTCAGCCTGGATGCTGAGGCTACATTTGACTGAGAGTAGACCAGAATCCATGGACACTATGAACAGACATGTGAAAGTCAAGCCTAACCAACTGCACACTTCTTCACTCTGTGCAACATGCATAGCTACTTATAGTGCCAAGTTCAGTAGCTTAAATATTGTGTCATCATTAAAATAATATCACTGAGTATGGTTATTAACTGCAGGTTGACCTTCAGCTTTGGCTTTGCTAACATTGTAGATTTATGTTTCCCCCCAGCTCCTTCAAAACTCTTTGTACAGTAGATTATTAAACTATAACTAAACAGGTTCATATATGCTTGGAAAAATTCCAAATCTATGATCTTTTCTTTGATTTTCATAAGCATGTTCATTAGAGGCCTTTACTCTTCCTTCAATTCCAGTGAAAATTCTACAAGAATAATTTTTTTAAATTACATCCCACCCATGATACAGTCTAAGATATGTGAACAGGTTGTCCTTCAAATTAATAAAATCAAATACCCATCCCAATACTCTACCCTTATTTCTGCCAAGATCTGTATTAGTTTTCACTCTGAATAAAGATAACATCTGTACAGATGGCAAGTGTAGGAGGTAATAATAAATGGTAAATTTGGCATGAGTTATGAAGTATGTGCAAAAAAAAAAAAAGAAAATGGAAAACTCCCCCCCGAAAATTTCCTGAAACAATAATAAAAATGGAGTTTGTGATTGTGTAGAAACCAGAGAAAACTACACAAAGCAGGTAGAATATATTATTACAATGTTTGAGTATTACCTACAGTATAGAATGATCAAAACAAAAACATATATGCTGTAGAAGAACTGAATTGTGTACTGATGGATTCACCTCTAAGGATTTAATCTCTAGTATATGGCTCCCCATATAAGCAATGAAAGCATTTAGTCTCCTTGCCTTACCAGAATGAGAGTCTACTTCTCAAGGCAAATGCTTAAGAGATAACTGAAATCAGTCTGAAACTTAGCAGGTGTTACTTCTGTTACTTGAAGTGCAACTATTTCAAAACATCATTTATTCTTTTTTATTCTAAAAAGTCCAAGACATATCTTCAGTAACTATCCAGTCTTCATTTTGACTCAAAATGACCCATTACTCCATTTCATTTACATTGCAGACCACTATTTATTGACACTTACCAGGGTATCAGGGCAGCCCAAGTAGAACATTCATGATACAGACTCTGAGAACACAACAGTGAAAATATCATGAACATCATAACAGCAAGAAATTATAGAAGGCCAGATTCTGCCCTAAAGCTCTATGAGGCAAATTCACCAGCAGTGTGACTTCACGTCCAAGCCTAAAATCTGAATGTGTAAATTACACCTTTGGCACTCTCAGCGAACAGACACCTGCAAACTGTGGGGCTTTAACCTCCTGTTCAGATGATTGCCTTCGCTTTCACTGCTTTCTGAAGACTGACTTACAACAAGAGAGGATGTAGAGTGAAAAAAGGTCTTGGGGGAAGGCGAAGTACTTGCATGTTTAGCACATTTTATAGACGGGTCTGGAAATAGGATGTGGATGTTGCAAGAGGTAATGAGGTGACTGGTAGCAAAGAACTCTGAGCTGGAGCAAATGGGAAGGTAAAACAGAATCGAAATAGTGAACCATCTGCTTTCTAATGAAAACAGCTCTACTTGTCAGCAACATCCAGAAAAAATGATTTCTTAGTTGGAGTGTATAACCAAGAGAAGTAGCTTTTTTGCTATATGAGGTAATACACTCAAATGATGTATGACTTAGAAAATAGTGTGGGTTAATGATCTTCAGCTGGATCAGGGAGTAAAACAAAGTAATTTCATAATACAGAACATGATGGATTAAATCATGTTAATACTGGGTATATACATTAAAGAAAATGATCTTTCTGGCATACTAAATGGCAAAATAAAAAGCACTTTTAGTAAGCTATATGATTAATTAGTCTGCCCTTTTATTTATGTACCATGATAAAGTAAAATGTACTTTTCTGGTTACCTCCCAGGCAATTATTCTAAAAGTTATATTGAATACACCAGCTTCATTGTATTGCACCAGTCCATCAGGAACTGCAAGTAGGTCCCTGTCTTTGTTTTAAGTCAGTGGTTTTCTTTATTCTCTCCCTTTCCTGTCCTCCTTTCTAGAGGTTATTGCGTTTTTGTGTTGTATGTTTTTTAACTCACAGAAACAGGAGATTTGACATGATATATTGATATATTTTAAATATGTAAACACTGATTTGTCTTAGTATTGTTAATTACAGAGAATGCAAAAAATTGCAGTGAGTGAAAAGTTATAGCTCACATGTAATTCAGGCAAATATTTAAATATGAGAATGTAAATGCTCCAGAGTTCATTCAGATTCTGAGCTGTTTCATTTCCTGCCTTCACAATTTAGCTGTGTATCTTGCAAATTTCCACCAAAGGTTCAATCACATCCAAAATCTTTTAGAAAGAAGCTGGAAATGCATTTTCAAAGGAGATTTCAAATTAAAGTCTCAAATTTCAGAAAAAAAATGTTACCTACAGAGGTAGGAATATTATTTTTGAGAGCTGTTTGTCTTCCAATCTCATTATACATACTTGTCAGAAATTATGCCATTGATGTAATACATAGACGTTTCCTCTAGTACCAAATTGACATGGAAGGAAGAAAAAGCATTATTAGCACTGAGTTGACTTCTTTCTTAAAATCTTACAAGCCTGTAGAAACTGATAAAATGCAGGAGTTAATGAAAAGACCATTTCAATTATTTATTTTTTAAAAAAGTATTTAGCAATGTAGGTATAGGTGTAGGTTCTGTATTTTCCTAGGGATTCACTTAGTTCTTCTTCAGACTCGATTGCCTTAGATGGATGTACTAAACAACACAGAAAATCTGAAAGACCAGACTTGGACACTTTTCTAATGTTAAATTCAGAATTCAGGTGGGAAGTGCTTTTGACACAGTAAAACATGTTTTCGTAAGGGGCCCATGACTTACATGGGCTTATTCTGTTCTGCTGTTCCACACACTTGCACAGAAAAGTGAATCCTGATTCTTAAAGCCTCAGGCTAAAGGAAGTGACTTTTAAAAAAGAACCAGTTAAGAACTACCCATTTTTTTTTTTTTTTTTTTTTTTTGGTACACTAGTGCCAGAGATTTGTCTACTACAAAAAGTGTTTGGAATCTCTGCATGAAATCCTCACAATGTTCTAATTCTGGATTATCTCACACAGAGTCCACCTGCGGATGCAGAGTCAGTATTTGCTGACTAATCTTTTGTTTGCAACATCACTAATGCTTCTTTTGACTCTGGGGTTTTTGCTTTCTCCACTGCAATGTGAAATCACAGTCAACATAAATCCACATATTTTCAATATTTATTCCACCTGTGCATTTGTGTGCCAGCAAAATAACTGCTCTATCATCAGGCTCTACAAAGGCACTTTGGTATTTCAGTGGCTGTGAGTGCAGAGAAGGTGTTCTTTCCTCCTCCCATGCTGTCCTGTGTTACATTCTCATCACCTTTCCAGGTGTACTGTGCAGTTTCCAGGCTTCTCAGATTTCTGTTCCCTGTAGAAAAAAGCACATGAATTTTCCTCTTGTCAAAAGCACCTTATATAATCCTTTTTTATGATCAACACTCCCAAAAATTATCCTTTTCCAAATGTTCTTCCTTATTCTAAGGAGGATCATAAAGGCATTAACCAGGAAGACTTTTGCATGCTACTCAGCAGTATCACATCTGTACTACTTTTTTTAAGGGAGCAAATCTGATAAATAGTTGCTTTATTTCATCAATTTATTCTTATATAGCCTGTAGCTGTTAATGATTGTTTATGTATTTATAAGCAGCTTATCAGCCTAGAAATACTGGATGGATTCTGCCTAGAAATTCCAAATAGATACTGAAGTTCATAAATAGAAAAAACCTGGACACCTATTCACAACTAGTAAATAAGCTTTAAAGTGGATTTTTTTTAAGGCATGTGAATTATTAGTTCTCAATTAGACTGTTGTGAGAATATAGAAAATGGGTGACATGTATCACAGAGAATGTGTATAAGCACAGCTTCTTCAAAGTGTTGACCTAAAATAACATTAAATTGTTGCAACACTTTAAATTTTGTAGGATATAACACCGTATAGAAGTGTGACTTAAAAATTAGCGTTTGCAAGTGTCATTGATGCAGGTGAGGGGTTTTAGCAAGCAGCCGGTTTTAAACCTAAAATTACATTAATTTATTTGCTGCAATAAAATTAGGTAGATTAGTTATTGTTCAAACTGTTTTGCTACACAAAAGAAGGGCTTTTATATTACTAAAAAACCCCAAAAATCTTAGAAAAATGAGCAAAGGTTAGTGCTCCTGTACTCCACTACTGTTGGCAAGACTCAACCAGAAATGCAAGATATGTATAAAGAGTAATTTTGTCTCATTAAATGACAACACTAGTGGTTCCTCTTCATCTCCTTAATTCATTTCTTATAGTTTTTCTTGTCACATCCACTTGTTTTATGGCTTACTAACTTGCAAGTTATGGTCGTAATTTATGGTCAAAATTGAGTGGTAGCAAATCACAGAATATTTTCATTGATTACCCTAAATTGTCTAATCTCCTGTATGTTTTTAGGACTTGATTGGGTGGTATTTACTGATTGCCTTCATCTAATTTAAAAATCAATCAATAGCAACAATGAGAGGTGGTGGATAAATCGAGTCTAATGCAGCATAACTGCAGCAAATATCCATCAAAGGCTCATTCTCAATCAAATTTGTGGGAAGTTTTAATACATAAACCAAAATGTCTAAAAGCCTTACTTTCAGAGCACATCATTTTAAAATTGTACTCTGCATCTTATTGCTCTTATGCTGTCTATTTAGGGCAGTTTTCCACTGCTAAAATGAACATATTTCACTACAATAAAACTGTAGCGAACAAGAAAAAAAATATCATCAGCTTTGGTTTAAAGGCACTTTGTTCCATCTTCCTCAATATCATCTGTATATAATAATGGAAATTAACATAACATCAGCTTTTCATATAAACTGTGTGCATTTTCTCCGAGATAAACATTCTAATAAGTGTCTTGATGGGAAATGTTCTTTTTTTTACATTGAGAAATCAATTCATTAACGTCGTTCCTTACATTATTCTTTTTTAAAAGCATCTTTAGTTCCCCAAGTTTTGGATGGCAAATATGAAAGAAGCTGTCTGGAAGACAGTATTCTAATTTCTTGACACTATCAGGGCAAAGACACCTCATGCAGCAAAAAAGAACAGAGAGTAAATGCAAACCTTCTTTTGTTTTCCAAGGGATGGCAGTACAAACATAAAATGCTTTCTTTCTAATTTGTCACAAGCAAAATTTGTTTCTTTTTTAAGTAGGTATGGACCTCCAGTTTACATTAACTCAAGGTAAGTTTTCTACAGGCAAACAAAGGTAAACAGTTACATACATTGAGGTCAGAAGGATGCTGTCATTTACAGCTGGATGAGGAGCTAGTTCAATAGTCTGGAAAAACAGGTTAAAACTGGCCTCTGTTCTTGAAAGAATCTTACCTATACTCAAAAACAGGTACTTAATGTCAGAATTTGCTCAGTAAATATTCTGTCTAGATAGCTAAGGAGATTCAGTTTTTATTTCTTGACAACATTGGACATATGATATTAGACTTGTTAGGCAATAGGAGCTTCTGTCTTGTGACTCCAGGTGTAATACAAAACCAATGAAGGAGAGAGACTTGGAGGTCTGGGGATTTTCTGCAATTTTGCAGTTATTTGATTTTGAGTCAAGGGTGCTTATTAATAGATCAACATTCTTTTTTACTGTATTTAAATTCAAGCATATAAGACAATAAGTATATCCAGAGAACAAACTGTGAAGATAGGACGTAAGAACTAAAAGACATCTATTAAGCAGAACTTTCAAGAAAGCACATATCCTTTTCCTAGATATTAAAAAAGATAAGGGTTGTCGATTAACCAGAACCAAAATGTTGAAGTTGCACACATCAAAGCCTGGGAATTCTTTGCTCTGTGTTAACTTTACAGCTGACCACTCTCTGAGACAAATATCACCACCTGTGATTCTTAATTTTTGCACAATCCAGATGAAAAGACAGAGAGAACCTGTATCATCAGGATATCACAGTCATATTTTCTTTCCAGTGTTGAACATGTCTCATATTTGTAAGAATTGTTCTTACTAATGGTATTTTCATTCCCCTTTACAATTTTGATTTTGGCTGAGATTAGGAAAATGGAACAGTGCTGAGATATTAAAGCAGGGACTCTGAAGTTTGCTACGCTCTCTAACCAAAAGAAGGAAGGGTAAGGCACTTATAAAGTGCTGTTCTTTCTTCAGAAAATAATGTCCAAAACCTTTGAACAGTTCTGAATTCACTCAGATTAAAAAAAAATATCCATGTTTTGGTCTGTATCTAAAGAAAGTAAAAGTTACATGGCTACAATCCACCACCACTACAAACCTAACTGTAGATATGTACCAGATTGGGCAAACAGCACAACGCTGGAAAATAATAATTCTGTTCTAATCAATTGTAAAATATCCTTTGTTGCTAAACACTCGTGAAAAATCACCGGCCAGCCCAAGCAACAGATCACAGCACACGTTACAAATATAAAAGACAACCACCAAAGAGAACCCTACCAGCAGCCCACGCTTTATTAAAATTCTGACATTCTGAGATATCTTCTTGCCAAGGGCCCTCTTACAATGACATCTGTACACTTGTCATTACACTGCAGTTCACATTACTTACATAAACATGCCACAGGGAAACCATGACTGATATAATTTTTATAAGATTGAAAGGTAGCCATTGTGATCATTAAAACAAACCTGAGAGAGCCTTCCTGATGATGGAACAGATTCAGTTACTTCTTCCTTCTTTGTGGGTCATTAGTTAAAAAGGGGAAGGTGGGGGAGGAGGGAGGGAAGGCCATATACTGCAGGTGTTTTATCCTTTGTGAGGAGACTGCACTGAGACAAATGATTCTAGCTGGCATTTTGTACACACCGGAGATTGCTTATCGATCCAGATCAGAATATTCAGGCTGGCCCCGGGGAAAAGGCAGAGTATTTTCTGAGGGAGTTAATAACCTGGCAGCTGAGCTGTCTTGTCCAATTCACTGAACCTAGGGCTCTAATCAGGCCAGAGTTTTTATTTTGAGAAATCTTGCCATATGTGTCTGCTAGCTGCCTTCCACTCTATTGGACCAGTGACAGTGATTGAAATGACAGCCTATAGATAGAGCCTAATCAAATTGTTTATTATCAGCCTAAATCAATATGTATAGATTGTTGAAACATCACTGTCATGCCATGAAAAAGTCATACATGCTGTAGGTGTAATTCTAAAATGCATTTTTCCGTCCTAAATTATGCCTGAATTTAACAGAGTAAAAGAAATTAGACATGTATGAGACAGTGAAAAATATACAGGTTTACACACTTCAATAAAATAACATTAAGGATTAATGTTAAAATGCCATGTTGTGCATTGCTTAAATATGTTATCGTGCTCTCATACAGAAGAGAGGCAGCAGAGCTGTGGGAAAGGAAAAAGGAATTGAAAAAAAAAAGTTGTTTCACCTTTTGTATAGAAAGGAAAAAATCTCGCAGAGGTCTGTGTAAGCACGTTTTGCAGCACAGATCAAATTCCAACACACCTAAAAAGCAAGTTTTGAGGCATCCAGACTACAGAGATGAAACATACAGTAATGTGAATGAATTCCTTTGGTACTACACAAATATTCCTTCCAAGAGACTACCAAAGAGCTTGGACCATGAAGTCTAATGATTTCGTAGGAGTTGATTTCATAAAGCCCTGTTTCCTGAAGATGCTTGGATACTTTTTTGCACAGTATTTTTGCATTATATGGAAAGATTACAAAGTATTTAATAATATATCATGAATTAGATTCAACAGGTTTAATTAGCATCTCAAGCAGAATTATTCAAACACTAAAAAATGAGAAGAAGAGCTATTCCTGAGGGCACAGCACTGGATAGAAATCTCTCAGATTTGGGAGAGGACCAGTAATCTTTCTGGCCCAATGGAGCTCACCTGAGTGTATGGATGTGAAATTCTTCTCTGGTGTAATTGACCTGTAATGGATAATCTCTGGAGCATTTATGGCCCAACAAGAGTCAACTGTGTAGTTCATAACTTTTGAAGTAGGTCTACTGGCAGAATTTTGCACTACAGAATGTGTCCCATGGAATAATTTATTGCCTTACTCCTCAAAAGAGAAATTTCAAAACTACTTTAAAGTACTCTGGCAAGGCAACAGGCTGTAACCGTAGAGTAAAATATGTTTTTCCCTGAAGAATGGTGTAAAGTAATCTTTGGTTAATTAATCTTTGCCATGCAATACACTCTTGTTTGAATATCATTTATACTGCGTAATTACTGGGTTGAGTCAAACACATAACAACTTTTAGCATTACAACATACATGTCAATAAAAATAATATTATGTTGTAGGTTGTACTGATTTAGAGAGGTATTTTTTTCCTTGGATAAATGTACTTTTACTGTGAGCATG